TTGCACAAAGACTCGTTTTGCCACAGAGGCAAAAATCAACTATTCATCTATGAGCTGGCTCAGGGAGCCTCTGATTCTGTAATTAACTTCAACATCTCTTCATGCGAAAAAAATGTTCTTACCCTATATTTACTAATCGTGGTAAGTAAGAAGACCTATATATCAGGAACAGATTATCTAATATGTCGAATTATTCTAGCATTTTGATTGGTTTTGACTTATGATCTATTGGAGGACAGACGCATAAATAACATCATGAACACCTTTTTTGTTTCTTTCTTATATAAAAACAAGTAGATTCCATGTTGCCGTGTATCTTTTCAGTCATATATCACTTACATGTACAATGTAATAATCAAAATTTGCTTAAAGTAATTAAAGTCAAGCTTCCAAAAGAAAAAATCTGGGCAACACTTAGGACCTTTATAGTGCGAGGTTATGTGTAAAAGAATGGAGAAATACGCACGAATTCGAAGGAACTTTTAGGCGCAACATGTCTGTTTCTCCTTGGCCTTAGGTTCCAAGTCCAAATGTCCAGAGGTCCCAAATTCAGTTCCCGACAGTTCCGAGAAAACCAATCCGAGTTTATAAGTTTCGCGTGTATAGGTTCAGTGGCTGACCATATGAGAAGCGTTTTCAAGCTTATTAGCTTGATTACATGTCTAGTCTACGTCGGTTTTCATGATTTATTTAATCTATAGATTTAACGGACACAATAGCCTTTAAAGACTGAAATTCACCAACCAACATTTCACCAAAACGAAATTATTGAACCACTAAAGAAAACGAGTAAATCTTCATTAAAACAATATGGAATTAATGACTACGTGCGGGTGTCAGATAGCAAATCCTGTTTGGCCGGGATATTTTGCAGAACAATGCAGATGCACTGTTTGCTTGGGGTTAGTTTCACTGATGTTTTCTTCTTTGGGAGCTTTTATTTGTTGGAAAGTGACAAGTACAATATAATGCTGTCCTTAGCAAATAGAGGATGACATGAAGCAAACATGAATGAAACCAATTAACCGCGAGCAAACAGTACATTCGATGTTCTGCAATCGGCGCGTTCTGCAAGATACTCCGGCCGAGTCCTGCTCGCTTTAAAGCATGAAATTATCAATGAAAGATAGCCGAATGAAAGAAATGTTAAAAAACTTCGTTTAAGATTGATTATCATTTAAGATAAATCCAAGAAATGTATTTAGAAGCAGAAAAACGTCAAAAATTTCACAGACGTGCGGTTTTGCATTCTGCACGTTATTAATTATTCACGCTAAAGCGCAATTTAAATATTATGTTTGTCGACGGCTTTGTAGTCATTTTATTGACCATAGCCTCCTAGTCCTTTAAAAAAAATCAATCTAACTTCGAAGCAATACTCGATGTCGCCATTTTGTTTTCAGAAGTCCTGGAAGCTGCATCAAATCTGCAATCTGTCTTTAATTTGCTTCCATAGAAGGAAAGAAAATTATCCACTTATTCTTCACCAGCAAGGTTCTCATGACTCTCTACCTTAAGGTGGCTTACTACAGTTTTTCGGAGAATCAGCAGCGCGCGTTATGATTGCCTGCCAGACGCCATTATTATTCGCGCGTGCAAAAATGACGCAAGTAACTCTAAGAAGAAACTAAAACCACTTCAGCACTTGAAAGGAGTTAAATCACTTCGGTTCTTTGCAGCAATAGTTTTAAACTCCGTTCAAACATAACCAGAAATATGATAAAAAAGCTCGATAAACAACCGGTAAAAGAGCTCTAATCTACTTTTGCTTTCTTGCACGCGACACATGGCGTCTCAAAGCCAGTCTTTGATCGAGGATTGCTCGAAAAACTACCTTACAACCCACGATCAAATTTTCACAGTTAATTTGTAGGGGCGAATCACGTTTAGAGCCAAACTTTTTAACAAAATCTGTAAGACCAATTTGAGCTATTATTGATTTCACATTTTCTTGGTTTGCGAAAAATCTGTACGACAAATTTTTATTTTACTTTGCAAGAATATTAAATCAGAGCCAATTGCGTATTCCTGAAATTTTGAGGTGGGGTCATACGGGTAGATTTCGAGAAAAACGTGATTTAACCTGCTAGTGTCCAGCCTCTCCTTAGCTACTCGGTCGTTCTTTTTGGCCATTTGTTGACGTTTAATTGTTCAAGTTTCACATAGAATGGTAAAAGACTTAAGAAAACAGTAAACATAGAAAGGAAAACATCTTGGAACACTCTTCAAAAGAGTTAAAGGTTGAGCTGTTATAATCCATCATCAAAACTGCAGTAAGCCACCTTAAAAGTTTTCTTTTCGGCACCTTTCAAACATTGTTTACTGCTTTTAGTTTTTTTATTTTATTTTATTTATTTACTTTTTTTTTTCATTTTAAGGCGAAAAGAGCTTTTTTGTGTGTGTTATGAACGAAAACAAGGGCTTGAAAGCTTGGAACTTTGTGCAAGTGGTGTTTGTGCGGACGAACAGACTGATGGTTCTACCAACAGTCACGTTGTCGTTTTTGGATCGATGATTTACCGATGGACCAATTTCAATATATGTGACCCTCCACGGGAAAGCAGGGATAAAGGTGATAGCACGCTCACAACACGCTAACAAAGCACGCTTAGTGTGTCCTAAGACACGCTTTATGCGCATATCTAATTCGTAGCACAATGAAGGACACACAACGATTTGTTAACACGCTAAACCTTTTGTTTTGATTAGCGTGCTAACTGTAACAAGCTTAGTGTGTGAGTTAGCACGCTAGAACATGCTAGAGCTAAAAGGAACATCGCAGGAAGTTTGCGATCTCGCTCTACAAAATTTTACTCTGAAAGCTGCTAAATTAGCGACAATTAATAAATAGCGACAAAGAACGGGAAAAAACTTGGTATCTGTGTTGGTCAACGAACAAAAGATACTATTATTCTGAATAAAACACAAGTAGAACATTTTTAAACAAACTGATCACCTTACTTCCTTTGGAAACAAATACAGCCGGAGAAGTTACTGTCTCTGATTCTTATCGGTGCCGAAGAACACCTTCAGCTCAAAACAAAAGACCTTAGTACGAGGCTCTGGGGAATAACTACAGAATTTGTGGGGTTTATTCCCCAGAGCCTGGTGCTGAGGTATATTGTTTTAGGCTGAGTGTTAATATATGGAAATTGGTCTATTCTCTCTGATAAGGAGATAGGAACGCCTTTACATTTCGAGGCAAAGTTGAAAACTGAACTTGCGGGCCTCTGATTTTTAAGTTCAAGTGAATGCAATCCTTTTAAATCTCTTAAATCTCCGTTTTGGATTTTCTGCATTACGTTTGTGGTTTTTGAAGCAGTTATTTTGATATTTCAGTTAATTCTGTGATCATTTGGTTAGTGCTGAAATTGTTTAAAGTAGCCTGACCTAGCCCCTAGTGAAGCACTACAACTATTTACTTACAGATAACTACGATTGAGGAAGAATGAGTTGGTATGTCTCTTAAGCTTCTTTATTTCTTTCTTTGATATATATATATAATACACACTTAAAATGTCGGTGCTTATGCATATACTAATTTAAAGGTGAATCGTTTAAGTGTTATGTTTGCGTTTTTTCTCATTTTTTTTTCTTTTGCATTTTTTTTTGTTTTTTTTTTTGTGGTATTCGACTTTTTCTTCCACCAACTCCACTAAACGCATTAATGAACTAAAAAGCCACCAGAACTCGCAATAAAACCTTAATTGCAGCTTCCATCAATCATGCGCGTGAAAACGCATACACCAAAGGCTGTTAGTTTTACTTTGCTTCTGATTGGCCGAGTAGCAGCCAAACATGCGTTTTTTTGCCACTGGTTGGACGTAAGAACCTGTAACCTGTAACTCTGCGAGCTTTAGCAGCGTTCTTATAGTCTTTTACGCGGGTCCTTTGCTAAAGTGTTTCGTAAGCCATTCTGGCCCGAATATTTCCGAAACTAAAACGGAAAAATCTCCGCCTAAGGATAGTCATCTTGTTGAGGTGATTGAACTTTTTGGACAAGTCTCGATGAAGGATGCTAGCAACGAGAACTAGGAGCCATCTAAACTGCTATTGAGGGGCAGAGTATACCGACAAAACCACTCGGACCCACTCCGAGTGGACAGCTGAGGCCTCTAATCAAATGCACCAATTAACAAAGTTAAATTAAGTTTAAGGTGAAACGAAAGTAAAGCCTGACCACAGGTTACAGATTCCTGTCAGTTCGCAAGAAGTTACCGACGCGGTAATCGCTCTTACTTTCGACTGGTCTTGGAATGTCATTTCATAAGTGACTCTGATACAAGACAATAAGATGGGAAACTACAATGGTGTCATTATGATGTCGTACTAGTTCACAAAAAGAGCAGCAAACAACATCGACAAAAACAGGCCACCGGTCATTCGAACGGCGGATGATTCAAGGTCAAATTCGACAGTTGGAGCAGGGGGTGATTCCTCTGGATTTGTAGTAGCAACAACAGTAGAGGAGATCGAAGAAGTAGCTTTTTCGTCAGTTATGGTAGCAGTGGTAGTGCCAGTCCAATTGGTACTGACTGTACTGTTGATCTCAGTCGAAGTGGAGTTTATAATCTCGGCAACTTGGAAACTAGCTCTGATGATTCGGTCGTAAAGTGGCTGGACGGGACGGAAATTCCCGACGCTTGTCGTGGTGTAAGTCTTCCTGAGTTGACGCAGAAGGTTCATCTGGGAAAAAGAAACCCAATGTTAGAGAAAAGCACCTTGATGACGAGGCAGTCACTATTCTCACCAAAAAAAGTAGCTTATTGGTGTAACAAACAGGTCTGTGGCAACTGAATTCAAAACACACGGCAGTGTACCTGATACTGCGATATGTTGACCGCGTCCCTAAACACCGTCCACGTGACACTCTCTTTGCAAGAGGGAGTGGTGAGAGAACCACTGTACCGGAAGTACTTGGTCTTATTGGCAGGCAATATTCTGTCAAATCTGAAAGCTGGAATGTCACTGATAGAAGTGTCTGTAAAAACGATAAAAACGAGCCGATGTATTAAAATAACTACATGAACTAAATAGTATGATATGTAATAATAATGTGTAACGATAAAATATTAAATGGTTTTCTATCATGTTATGAAAAAACTGTTACTGATAATAGGGAGAAAACATCATGCACTTACAACTCGAAGTCAGGTTTCGAGCACTTTCCAAAAATGAAAATGCCGTGTTAATTTTTCCTCCGACCTGGAAAAGTAAGATTAAAAAAAAGTATAAATTAAATTTTTCTAAGAAGGATCGCATGCTAAGATAAGAAACGAAAGATAAGATGACTTATTCAATGTCAGAAACAGGCGACGTGTTAGTCTAAATTTCCTAGCTGGGGTCATGATAAATGTGCAAGTTAACTCCATTGCATTTTACTTTATCTTTTACGGTCTTTTGGGTTAGACTTTATCAGTTGGAGGGCTGGGTATTGTAAGCCACATACTTTTAGTTTTGCGAGAAGTAGATCGTAACATGTGCATTCAAAAGCCTCAGCTACTGACGTCGGGGTCGATAAAGTGTTTGCTTAGTTGTAGTGGTTTTTGAATTACTCAGTATCAATAAAACTTTTAATCCGAGTTACCTGTATAAAGAGACCAAGAACAGCGAGGCCATCTTCATGGTTGAGTGCGTCCATAAGGTCGGCATACTTAGTATTGTAGCTAACAAAATGCAACTGTCAAAAAGGTAAAAAAAAGAAAAAAAAGAAAAAAAAAAAGAAAAAAACAATAGAACAACAGTTAAGTGTTTGGTGAGAATATTAAATACTACTCAGTGAGTTAAGAATTTTGTTGTTTTATTCTTCTTCAGATGATTCCGGGCTAAAGAATGAGAAGAAAGATATCTTATTCAGATCGTCATCATCATTGTCATAATTGAGCTGCTGGCGAGATAAAAGTCATTCTGTCTGGCAACAGTNAAAAAAAGTATAAATTGAATTTTCCTGAGAAGGATCGCATGCTGAGATAAGAAAAGAAAGATAAGATGATTTATTCAATGTCAGAAACAGGCGACGCGTTAGTCTAAATTTCCTAGCAGAGGTCATGATAAAATTGCAAGTTAAGTCCATTGCATTTTACTTTATCCTTTACGGTCTTTTGGGTTAGCCTTTATCAGTTGGAGGGCTGGTTATTGTACGCCACATACTTTTAGTTTTGCGAGAAGTAGATCGTAACATGTGCATTCAAAAGCCTCAGCTACCGACGTCGGGGTCGATAAAGTGTTTGCTTAGTTTTAGTGGTTTTTGAATTACTCAGTATCAATAAAACTTTTAATCCGAGTTACCTGTATAAAAAGACCAAGAACAGCGAGGCCATCTTCATGGTTGAGTGCGTCCATAAGGTCGGCATATTTAGTATTGTAGCTAACAAAATGCAACTGTCAAAAAAGTAAAAAAAAAAACAATAGAACAGCAGTTAAGCGTTTGGTGAGAACATTAAATACTACTCAGTGAGTTAGGAATTTTGTTGTTCTATTTTTCTTCAGATGATTCCGGGCTAAAGAATGAGAAGAAAGATATCTTATTCTGATCGTCATCATCATTATCATAATTG